CAAACAAGCACACCCTAGGTAACCAGGAATAGTACCATTCATATCCACTTGTAATTGTTTTCCCAGAATGGTTCATTACTATGAGCAGATCCAACAATCTGTCTACCTATCGGTCAGCAGTTAAGTAGAGGATTATGCATGATGTACGAGAAAACCACCTCAGTATGGGTCACGGTGAACATCCCAAACTGTGTTTTTTGTGGTTTCCAAATATGTATTTTCAATTTTACTTTGCATATTTTTGCATAGTCCCGCTTGACTGGCATATTAAAAAAATACGGTGTTTTTTTCAACCTACTACGAGTACCTGGTGATAGTGGTCCCATTGAACATCATAATCACATTTTGCTGAAACATGCTTTCGGGCTGAAACCATCAATCAACCAAAGGGTTGGCTAGTGGTTTGGGCCCGGTGACTTTGATTCTTGAGAATACCGCCTAAACCAGGAATAACGGCGGTTTAGATTCTCCCAATTATCCCATATTATCCCCCCTTTTTGCAACCAACCAATCCCGGGACTCCAAAGCACCGAGCCCCGCGCCAGGCGGCGCCCAAGCGGAGTAGCGAACCACTCCAACGGCGCGAGGCGTCGGAAGGCGTGGAATCAGCCGTCAGAGGGGGTCAGTTGTACCCAAACTCTGGATATATCACCAGCTAATCAGGAACCAGAATGAGGATCATGGGAACATGTAAACAAGAATATGATATGGGTTTGAGTACGCATGGGCCTTCACTTTACCCCCATGTCATTACGAGTCTAGTGGGGAAAATGATGGTAAACCATGAGATTCTAGGGGTCCAAATCTTGAAATCTTAATTTTGATCATCGAAACATACTTATTTTGCAAAGCGCTCATTGAAGCAGCAAGAAACTACTAACTTCCTTTCAACTGATCACAGTGTCTGTGATTGAACTCGTTCTGAACAATACTCTGTGTGAAAGAGCTCTGTGTGAAACGCCTGGTGGGCTTTATTTTGACCGTTCGGGCACTTTGTTGTTTTTGCATAATCCTTCGACCAGCAGGGCAGGGTAGAACTAAAGTTACCTTGTCTGGAGGACTTAGCCATAAGATTCAGGGTGAAACTTTCACTTGAAAGGAGGCTCAGTTAGGTTCCAGGCCCGTGCCATTGTAAGTAGATAGTAAGCACATCTACAGGGTTGATAGTTTTGGATTTTGCATGATTTCAACTCCCCATATGTCTGATCGTTTTTTCCCCACCTGCCAGGTGAGGGTTGTTAGATTTTATGTCAGTTGCCTCCTCCTTCTCCTCCTCCTCCTCCGCCTCCTCCGCCTCCTCCTGCCTCGTCCTCCTCCTCCTCGTCCTGCTCAACCGCGACCCTCGACGCACAGTGGTCTCTGTCGGACCTCAACCACGACCATCCACGCCCAGTGTTCCCTGCCGGACCTCAACCACGACCATCCCGCCCAGTGTTCCCTGCCGGACCCAACCACGACCATCCACGCCCAGTGTTCCCTGCCGGACCTCAACCGCGACCATCCACGCCCAGTGTTCCCTGCCGGACCTCAACCACGACCATCCGCGCCCAGTGTTCCCTGCCGGACCTCAACCGCGACCATCCGCGCCCAGTGTTCCCTGCCGGACCTCAACCGCGAGTATCCACGCCAAAAGATATGCCACATAGAGTGCCAGAAGATATGCCAGATAGAATGTTAGAAGATATGCCAGATAGAATGCCAGAAGGTATGCCAGATAGAATGCCAGATAGAATGTCAGTAGAATGCCAGAAGATATGCCAGATAAAGTGCCAGAATGTTTGCCAGATAGAATGCCAGCAGATTTGCCAGATAATATGCCAGAAGATATGCTAGATAGAATGCCAGATGGAATGCCAGAAGATTTGCCAGATAATATGCCAGAAGATATGCCAGATAGAATGCCAGATGGAATGCCAGAAGATATGCCAGAACATATGCCAGAAGATATGCCAGAAGATATGCCAGAACATCTGCCAGAAGATATGCCAGAACATCTGCCAAAAGATATGCCAGGTAGAATGCCAGAAGATATGCCAGATAGAATGCCAGATCGAATGCCAGAAAATATGTCAGATAGAATGCCAGAAGATTTGCCAGTAACAAAATGTATAAATGTCATGGTGGGGATCACACGAAGTAAAGTAATTTTTAAGTCCAATGGATTAGACAGTTGAGCTGTGCTTCTGCAGTAGGCCGGGAACGCCGTGCCCGAGGGCCTCAAGGCCCTGGCAGATGATTTGGGCGGCGCTGAGGACCTCTTCGGCTCAAAGAGCAACTGTGCTAGTTGGCAAAACAGAATCGATATGCATTGGGTGTATAACCAACGATTGCAAAAGTTGGGGCTGGGATATATTTAGTTCGTATATTATCCATGATAGCTGGGATATGGCCAACCAACAAGATTGGTTGTGGTTAACAGTATCTACTACACATATTGTTTCCCCATCTCGACTTGAGATGATTGGCTCAACGGGACAAAGACAATTTGGAATGAGTCGAAGCCAGCGAACAAGTGAAAGCGCATAGCTAGTTGCAAGTACTTACATGGATGCAAATGGATCCGAAGAAGTTACAAGTCCACCTGCATTCACACCCTTGTGCGCATCGGTTCCCGACTTCCTGACATTCTACTGATGTTGCAAGTGTCCTGATTGATTTCACCCAACTCCCGGATGGCTCTGGGTCACACCGATCCCACCCCCGTCCATTGCGCCAACGGCAAGGCGAAGCCTGGCAGGGAATGAAGCTAAGACTGGGTGAGGGCCTTGGTTCGGGGGAACGTAGCAGCATTTTGTGATCTCATTGCCCCCTCCTTGACTGACCTTGACCCAAACCTGTGTGACCAGTTGCAAGGTTAGCTCACATTTTTAATTGTTGAATAGCCGCACTCATGAGTGACTGCTCCGCCATTTTGGCACAAACAATACTCATGGACATTTCTTTTTAGGGGATATACAAGGAAACTTGGGATCAATGACTGTCCGGGTATATTTTCTTTAGAGTTCCTGGGTGGTTGCTGACTGGAGAGCCGATCCTTTTGGATTTGGGAGTGAACCGCACTTACCAAGGCGCATTGCCCCTCAGAAAAATTAATTAATTGGGATGAAAACATCCAAGCCGATAAAACAAACAAATTGCACATGTGAACTTGTGACAACCATAGAATTGGTCCATCCAAAGCCAGGTATTGAACTAAAAGAGCAACAGTCAAGTCTGTCCTTTCCCAATGTTGGGCCAGGCCTTCAGTGTTGAGAATGTGTCCATGCCTCTACATTTGACTTACCTGAGAAAATCGATATTTAGTCACACTAATCCACAAAAATCATGGAACCCCAGTGGATGACCCGCCATGAGGTCCTGAACGGCCCGGTGCATGAGGCTTGACGGCTGCAGCATTGGACACAATATTGGATTCGCCATTTGTGAATCAATTCATTGTAACTGGGAGTTTCGCAGCGATACACATTATACCTGAGGGAAAGTGACCCTTGCAGCCTTGCAAAATCTTCCCTTCATGCTCCGGAGGTTGGCTCTCGGGAAAGCCAGCATCCATCAAGGCTGGGAAGAGTCCAAACTCTATGATCTGATATGATGATGTGGTGGCAGTGGGTTTGGGTCAGTCACCCTAGCACTCTGTCAGACCCCTAAAACCTGGGCAATCATTCATGGGTTATTTATCCAATTTCAATCAGGTGAGGGTCAATGCAGCTACTTTCACCAGGCTCTCCCCCAAATGTTCATGCTCTCACCAACAAACATCCACAAGTGTCAATCCTCTACTCTTAACATCTGCTTCCCGCTTCCCCCAACGGAATCCAAAGGGTGTAAGCCCTCATGGAAGCCTGCATTTGACTTACATGTCTTCGAAGTCCTCTTATTCACATGATGATTATTTGGTCTACAACATAGTGCTCTTGAAAAGGGTGCTTACTGTATCGGGTCTTGACACTGCAGATTTGCGACTTGTTTGATTCCAAAACGCTACATGTATGTTATATTTAAAGTTAAAGTTAAGTTATTTACTTCTATCGGCCAGTTTTTGGTGAAGCCTCGGTAAATGCACCCTGCCCACATGGAATCCCGATCGCTTTCTGTGTTCCTCAAGCCCGTGCTGCCAGGCCAATGGTGCGGATGGATGACCAGCCAATGACCAGCTGCCAAAGTTGCGCAGACGGCTTGCCAGTTTCAGCTGAAACAAGTGTGAACACTTGGAGGTTGGCTTTGTCTACATTCGAGCAAGGAGTTGAATTATTTTCTGGACCCAGACAGGAGACGTTAGTTTGCCGTGTCTCTCAGCTCGCATATCAAGAGAGACCTGTTGTGACAAATGTTTGATTGAAGTTACTATTTGAAAGTCATTTTTTCTTTGTTATTCAGGTATAGTCTATAGTTGATTACTATATATTACTATCATGAGGGACATAGTGATAGTGATGCAGTCAGAATTGAAGACTGCGTTGAATCCGAGGCAGCTGAGATTTGATCCACTTGGTAAAACGCTTGAAATTGTGATGTAACATAGTTGGATGATTGATCTTCCAAGCACGTTGATTTTTGCATATGTTTGCGCCGTGTCTATATTTTATATAGCAGGGCTCCATGAAGGTGCTTTTCAACTTCAAGGAACATCTCCCTCCTCTGCCGTCTCAGCTGTCAAAGCTTGCAGCACTTTCCACAAACAGACGAAGACTCGAACAGAGCAAGGGTTATCCATTGAACCATTTTTATGAAATGGGTTATCGCGCATTTGGTTGGCAATAATTGCGCCTGACAGCTCCAAAGAAATGACTGGTACTCCGAAGAGGCAGTTGCAGACAAGTTGTCGGAACAGTTGCAACCTCACAACCTCCATGCTTCGAAAAGGATGATAGCATTGGAGGTTGTTAGGTTCCAGATAGCCCCAGAGTATCCACTGCTTCCAGTAGTGTGTGGGTCTAAGGAAAAACGGTAGTAAGTATTCAGGACATATCAGCCAACCCTTAGCCAACCTCCCAGCCTTGGCGCCCATTGGGCTGTGTGCCCGAAAACACCATGGCGTTGGTCCAGGCGGGGCCGTCGGGGAGACTGATCCAAAAAGGTGATGAGACTCCAACGAACATGCTTGGATCCAAAGACTCTGAAGGTCAAGGAAAATATCGGAACAAAACATGTTTGATGACAAAAAATGCTTCAGTTGAGCCATGCAGTGCCGCTGGAGGTTCCCAACACGGAGGACCGGTGGACAGCGCATGTGCTTTTGAGGTGTGGGGTGTTTGGGGATCTACTGCGTGTGATCCCTGTCATTGATCCATGGATCATCGGGGATATTCCTGTGATTCTCTTGTCGTCGGCATGGTTAGGCCCCAGTATTTGTGCCTTGCCATTCTCATTGATGTAACTTGCCATTTTCATTGATGGAATCAGGGAACTATTTGATCAACAGCTTGGAGGTCTTAATGACTTAATGAAATATGTTTTTGAGGTTACGGTCAGCTGCCTGATGCTACATGCAAGGTTGCCTTCAGCGCGCAAACTATTGCATTGCTCAGTGGAAAGGACGTCTTCAACCGGTGTTCGCGGCGGTTCCGTTCAAGTTGGGAAGCTCATGTCCGACCTCGATGAGACTGCTTTGAGAACGCTGGTTCCTGCCATTTTGGACAATCTTGAGCCTGGCGAACTGGTCCTTAATATTGGTCTTGCAGCCTGCCCTGGCAACCGGATATGCCGCCCTTTGTCCCCTTGTTTTGGGCGGCAGGGTTGACATGGCTGGGTGTGGTGATGAAATTATGGTTTGCCTATGTATTCCCCCTGATGTTGGATGTGTTTACCAAGGAGATGCCGTGGGACCCTGTGACGGCGAAGGAGTTTCAGGTTTGTTCACATCTGACATGTTCTCTTTTTTTGTTCTGCTTGAAACAACCAAAGATGAAGGATCATTCCATGATGAAAGTGAGTGTGTCACATCATTATGTTGCTTCATCTTCATCTTCGTCTTCGTCTTCGTCTTCGTCTTCGTCTTCGTCGTCATCATCATCACCACCATCTCCATTATCATCAGCATCAGCATCATCACCATCATCATCGTGACTGCAATAACCTCTGTAACCTACCTGGGTGAAATCAGTCCGCAGTCCCCATGTTGACAATTCCTACAAGCCCCAGGTATTTACAAAAAGGGATTGCCACCAAGAAGGCCATAGCTGAGAAGACAAAGCTTGGGTAGCTACTCTGGATTTGAACCATCCTGGCCTAGCCTTTTTTCTTAGCGTTTGTTTGGACAGGAAAATGCTGATTTTACACATCTAGGAGAGCTTCCCCGTTGGTGGTTGACAATATCGAATCGTTTGTTGATAGCAACATCCCGCGTCCCGTGTGACGCCAAAGGGTCATGTGTTCTCCGCATATGTTCAATACTTTGGCGATTTGATGGAGAACGGAAGCGATCTATTGGTAAAGTCGGTCAGACTATTCAATCCCAACCTCAGCGCCCATTACCAGTTGTCAGGATAAGAAATTTATGGTGCGACAGTTCCAGTTTACACACCATCTTTATATAAATATTTATAATTGGTATGCAACCCTAAAGTTCGGAACCTGTTAATGATGTATCCCATTTAAGCCACTGTTTGGTTCATTCATATCCCAGTTTTTTTGGTGCCTTAAAAGGCCATATTTGGTGACCAGGAGATGTACAACTACATCGCCGAGAGACCTGGAGGTGTGTCGCTGGAGGTGTGGCCGAAGGAATGGTGGGGGATTGGAATCGGATGGAGTGATACCAACAGCAATTATAATATTATAAACAGATATGATATTACCATAAAATGATACCATAATTGAATGGAATATTGATATTATAATATGGAATATTGATGATATCATAATTATAAACAGAGATATCACCAACAGCTAATATTAGCTAATATTGATGGTGATTTATATACCAATTAAACACATAGTCAACACACATTCATGATTCAACATAGATGGAACCGGATAGTAGATCAATGGATGAATCTGGGATATAAAGTATGATATAAGCAACACAATGGGAGGCTTTTCAAAAGGAAACAAATTGTAGATTCACCCGAAAACGAGTATTGCAACCAACCGCAAATGTAATTTGGTCTGAACGGTTGGTGTGAAAATGGGTGATTTAGCCAAAAAAATAATATAGATGACAACGTTAAGTTATATGATTATTAATAACATTTAATAACACTATTGTCATTCTATCCAGATGATATCCATCCCATTCTTCTAATGTGCTGTAGGATCTTTCATCAGCTGGATGGCCCGACAAGACGCTGCGCACCAACATGGCAACGCGGCAAACCATTTTCTTCTGCCGAAAGCGCCAATGGGGATTTCACCAGCTGTTTTAATGGGGTTCTAAGCATCAAGAAAAGAGGAGATTTAGGCGATCAAATATCTTGTTTAATGATTTTTTGTTATCAAATATGTGGAGCTATCATGGATAAATGATGATTGGTTGATGATCTTAGGGAAATTGTTCATTAAGAACGGACATTTGGACATCACATCGGATTTAATCCTGGCTGGTTGTTTGAATATAGCTCATGCACTCCAGTTGGATGATGATTATTACACTTTTTTGGGGTATAGTGGGATATAACCATGGAAACCCTTGATAAATGAGGCGTGATGATCGTAGGGTTTATATTGCGCAGGCTAGTAATGGAGTTTCCAGAGGACTTTTGGCACTGCTATGGTGTGCTAATCCGTTCCCCCCTAAGATTCAATGCCTCCAATAAAGAACTCAACAACGAATAGATCTAATATGAAACCAGGGTTTCTTGGGGTATTGAATATTAGGGGAAGGAATGGATGGAAATAGATCATTTTTTTAAGATTATCTAAAACCTGCTGATTTGACGATGACAATACGTGATTCTTTCTGTGATGATTGCCATCCTTTATCAGGTGACGATTCGAGGCCCATCCTTCATCAGTGCATTGTTCCCCATGATGTTTGGTGGGCAAAATCATTTGTCCCATCAACATGGTCTCATGAAAAGCCTGGGCCTATTGTAGCTGAATAATGTCCATGAAAGATCTCCGTTTGAAAAGATTGCAAAGCAAATGATGAACATCAAATCTTGAATTCCCCCAAAAGCCATGGTTATCCAATGGTGATCATTTCATTGTCCTCATGTTTCCAGCAAAAGATGCCAATCCCAGGTGAACCATCTCTTGAATCAGTGGCTCTTAGAGCTGGTCCCCGCGCCTTTGCTGATTTGAGTGTCACACATGCGGAGGGGGATGTTTTTAGATGTCTTTTTGGGTTTGGGTCAAGACTTGGCATGATTTGGCTGTTTGTTTGAAGAATTTGTTTACTAAGAATTTGGCTAAATTCTATAATTCCAGTTAGAGGCGCCTGACCTGCGAGTGTTTGCTCTTCGGGTTGTTGAGTGGAGAGCGCCATGGCAATAGAACTTACGCTCGCCGGGCGCATAATCAAGATGTCTCAGACCTCCCAATTACAGAGCCTTAAGAGAGTACTGATTAACCAAGAGCATTCCTGGTGATTTTGGCTGGTTGATGGTGATTTGCACATTGTCATCACCATCACCAGTCCCACCCTCATATCGTAAACAATTTACAGGTTGGTTAAACCGACTTTTGACAATCCTGAAGATCGAAACTATGTATATAGAATGGGTTCTAACATGTTCTAACCCATTTTTGAGCGAGGACTTCCTCAGTTGAGGGTAGCTGAGTTGCGGATATGCGCACAGTGAATGTTTCTCACTCTGTGTGGGATTGGTATTTACCCATCATGCCTCAAATATGCTCGCAATGGCATTGCGGGAAAAACCTTGGTTAGGGTTGTTGGTGGATGTTGGTGGGTATTTTTCTTACTTCAAGCTATTAGGGAAACAGAACAATTGTTCATGTTCTTTGCTAATTTTAGATTACAGTAGCCATCTATGGGCGCATTTTGTCCGTAGCCATCTGTAGCCCCAATGTAATGTGCACATAGTTTCTTCATTGTTCTAGACTAACGTTTGTCATGTGCTAGCGGTGGCATCTTCCTACCTTCAAGGCAAGCATTGCCAGATAAAAGGGGCCTGAAACCCTCATCTGTCTTTCAGTTGAAAACATTTGAAAACCAGGTTTCGCTATAGATCTACTTCAACTCAACCTATCCATTCCCCTTCCGTGGCACTCCAGCCGTGGCCACTTTACCCGTCGCCCCCAGGCAGGGGGCAACAACTTCATTGTGAAAGCCATCCCGGTGCACCTGGCGGATAAGCTGCGACGCCTGGATGATACCACCAGGTGGGAAGAGCTGATGGGTTTTTTTTGATGGGTTTTTCACCATTGAAGCCCCGGTGAATTTCACCAACTCATAGCTTCACTTCAACAAAAATGATGGTTTTATGATGTCTTATGGGGATTACATGGGTTGGGGTTGATATCAACATTGATATTGGGAGGATTCATGGGAGAATGGGGGAATAATTGTGAATTACGGTGCTGAGAATGATCTGCAGTTATATTCTGCTAAGTGCTATGCAAAAACTACCCATTCCCCGGTTTACCATATTTTTCCATCCGCTTCCCGAGAGCATCAGGCAGGTCTATCAGCAGATCGAGAAGGCTGGGGACAGAGGCGCCTGGAGCAAAAGTCTGAAGGATCAGACCAAACTGCAGCAGCACACCATCACCAAGGCGCCAGCCGATGCCATGAGGCCAAAAGGTGGGGAAAAACGAAAAGCCTAACGATCATTGGGGTAAAATTAAGGTAAAACTAGGATGTCAACCTCCGAGAAAGCAACAATTCATTGGTTTAGTCCCCATGGCACATCTAATGCAATGGCTGGTATGGCTGGTGCTGGAACCCTGGCCTCAAGTTGGACTAGTAGTGGAAACCTTCACTGTGATCGAATTTGTGGTTGGCAAAGTGGTACAGTCCTATAGTCTTTTGACATCTCCCACTTAGAAAGGTATCATCTGGAAAGATTGAACCATCCTAGAGCCCATGGCGTCTCCCTGAAGGCAAATCACCACTTATGGTCAGAACTGTGCATAGGAGTATAGAGTAACTGACCACTTGCTGCTGGTTACATCACCTCCGACAAGCAGATTGTCGAACAGAACGGAGACGTGCCAGCTGCTGAAGACCGGCTATGCCTGCTGCCAATTCTTTTGCGGCTGGGGCGGCGCGATTGAGATGGCCATTGGCACCTTCTACGGATCAGGGTGGCAGCCAATCCCAGCTGGATAATGATCTACAATCTTAGGGTCAGAAAAATGTACGAGTTCTGACCACAAGCCGCAATCGAGTGCCCGTGCAGTGGCATATTGGAAGACCATGGTCAAGCCCACCCAGGGTATGTAAGGTTTGACTTCTCTTACACATGTAATCACTTCTGCTTAAGTGATCCCGGAGGATGAGTTGTAATGACCCAAGACCGAAGGAAGCATTTCCTGTTACAAAAGTGGAATCTACTGAAACACATTGCACTGTCCCAAACAATTTGAGAATTGATGGCCCAGTATTTTGCCTGCATTGAAGTTACAGTAGAGTAGCCATGAAATCAGCTTTTGTTTTGAACATATGTCCTACAGGAAGAATCTCTGGAGTTTGTAAACGGTTCCAAAGTCCTGAACACCAAAATGTTCACCATTTCAAATGCTCAGGTGCCCCAGGGCAAACCTTGGAAAGCAGGCTAGGTAATGCCATGGTAATGCCTTCGTTTAGTGATTGTTTGCCATTTTGACGGTATTGTTTGTTCACGCCGAGAAAAAATCCAGTGAATTCTGCTGGGTATACATGATTGCTCATATTATAGTATATGGTAATATTATCTACGTACCCACGCACCATTTGGTGATGGTATCCAATGGCTGGCTATATCCCATCGGTAACCCTGTGACCAGCCATTGCCGCGTTGCCCAGCGCACAGGCTACGAAAGAACTGATGAAGATGCAGCTGATTAAGGAGGTGAAATCAGTTCCCTGGGCTGCAGCTATTGTGGCTATTTCCTTTGGGTATGATTTCCAATTCATGGCGGAAGCAGTACAGAGGAGAATGAAGTCTTGAACACATACCCACACATCATCATCCAATAGCCATCAGAATACTCAAAACGATGCAAGGCATTTCATAGACACTCATGGATTTGGTCTGCAGAAGGTTATTCTCCCGAAACTGGATCAATAGGTCAGAATAGCTTGCAGCGACCTCAAACGACCTCACACTGCATGTTTGAGCTAGCGAAGTGGAAACCGTGCGTGTGGTGGGGCTAATAACGTTCATGTGCCTGACCGGTGGCCACCATCATAGATCCTGTCTCTCACTTAATACTTGGAGTTGCTGAATTCAAAGGGCGTATTTCAATATCTTTGTGGTATTAAGCTTGTGATACTAAGCATGTGATGTTTGGACACGTTTCGAAGCTTGAATCTAACAAAAAACAGATACAGATACAGCTGTCAGTGGCTGTGATTATTTGATTATATTTGATTCCGGACCCACTAAGCATGTTTCTTGGCTTTGGTTTTTCCGGTCCCCCATGGTGTGTTTCGCATCATCTGAATCTAAAGCCACAATACGTGAACATTAGACAGGTTTGTTTTCAGGATTCCAATCTCCATCCTGACTCCATACTTAGTGTATGCGCTACGCAAGTGGCTCCACTGTTTATCATTTCCAAGTTAATTACGCCACTTTGCTTCATGCTCATCAGCGAAATCTCTGCGCCGGCCTGGTGGTACCTAGTCAGGGCGCAGAGATCTGCAATTGTAAATTTTGTTTGCCGATATCCTGGTTGCGCGGTGCGTTATTGCCTAAGTCAGAGTGGAGATTTCTATACTTGAACTTAGGCAACGCAGAGGCTGTTGCCTGAACTTTGTTTTTCTTTTTGGCCGATGTCAAGGTGCAGAAATCTGCACTTAAGCAAAACCAACATTTTTTCGCGCGCAGTGGATTCGGGGTCGTCCTCAGCTCAGGCGTGGGGACCCGAAAATCCATCGCACCTCAAGTATCCTCAAGAATCTGCCAGTTAGTGCCACTAACATGATGGCAATTATACAAGTAGTGGAGGCTATGAGGCACAATCCAATTTGGGTTTCCAATGTTTCGCAAATGATACGCAAAAACAAAAACCTATGTCATCAAAAAACCATCAACCCTTCCCCCAACTCCACTTCTCAGCAAATAAAGGTGAAGATCGCCACCAGCCACCGGCACACCCCCAACCCATCCCGGTACTGCCGCCCCAATGAGTTTTGGTTGGGAACATGGTGCCTGGGAAACAAAACATGTCAAGGATGCCGGCATGACGAGCTTGTATTCAAGCATTCATGTTTTACCCATAGCACCAGAAAAGCTGAAGTCTGAAGTGCCAAGGTTTTCTTCAGATCCCAACAACTCAAACCGTTTGATTCAGCATAAAGGATGCATGGCGCCATTACTGCAGGTTAAATATATCATAATTAGGTGGGTGAACTTCCAGTGTGATTTCAACAGGGCAGCACAATGGTGGAATATAATTGCACTTCGAATGATGATTGTAAGTTCCGCTTGATCCACCTTATAAACATACCCGAACATACCAATGGCAAGCGAAAATGCGCTATAGTTATTCCTCAGACATAGTATTATATTATATAGTAACATTTAGAACTATTTTATCAGAGAAGGATGCCACAAATAAGAAACAAGTAAAAAACTAATGACGTCAAAATCTATTTCCGGAGACCCCTAATCAATTACGAAACCTTCGCGGAAGCACTTGCAGGTGAAACCATTTTGTTGCCACAAAGCTGTCTGGCTCCGTGCTTGGTGTCTTGCTGCTTGCCAGTAATTTTACACCACGCTGTAAATGCTATGCTCTAAACTTGCTCTCGGAACTTCCAACACCCTCCTGATGCTACTTGCTTAACTTGTTCTTCGGACTTCCAATACGACACGCTCTTGATGTGCCTCTGAGCAGGAAAATAGGAATAAATTTTTGGTTCAAAAACAAGTTCTTTTTAAGACACAGTGCATGGAAAAAACAACTCAAGTGGCCTGGCATTTTTAAGCCTTCAAATGAAATCACTACGGCGTTGTGGCACCGTGGTATTTTTTCAAGAATTGCGCAACCGCTAGCGCGATTTCCAACCGGGCGGGCATGTTTGAGAATTGCTCATGTGCTAAATATTTATCATACATGATCCAAATGGATGGTTAAACATGTCCTGCGGTTTCCTTCAAATCTGAGGTTCAAAACCGCAACCGCAAGGTCTTCATGTTGATCGATCCTTGCCTGGGCCGGAAACGGAATCCCGGTCTATTTGAAGAGGGAAGCACATGCAATTCATGTGTTGTCCGATCTCCAAATAGAGCATGCCAACTCTAGCCCCTAAGATTCGAGTACCAGACAATAGATGCACAAACGTGGTCATCCGCTTTCGGGTGTTAGGAGGATCCCCAAAGTTGTGGCACACTTTTCAACTGACCGACAAGAGGCTACTTCTTCCAAAAATATGACAATTATGTGAATTTCTTTCCTTAGCCACATTACATTACATATCCTATCCCCCGAGCGATAGTTAAGTTAGCCGTTTCCCAAATGGCATATTCCATTATGAACAGATCCATCACATTGCACTAGGGTTTCTGGGTGTGTGTTTATTGAGGGTGGGAACCCATCAAAGATGTATGTATCCCCATCCTTTTTCGTCATATACCGTATACCACCTATTTCTGCTCGTTCACCAAGCATTTTTGTTACATTCTCAATCAAGCAACAACATCATAGATATTGTGTATTATATTGTGTATCAACATATATTGATATTTATATCTATGATATCTATTATATAGATATTGTGTATCCCTAAGGTCCGTTGGGACAGATGACCCCCAGCCCTTTCGAGGATTTGGAGCCCAGCAAGGAAGTCTCTGGAGGCGGGGGAACGTTCCAAGGGATGGAAACTTGCCATGGCGAGTTGCGGGAGCTTGCTGTGAATGGCTGGGTGATAATAGGGTTATGTTAGTTATGTTACTGTTATTATCACCCAGCCATTATGTAACATAACTATGTTGGTTATGTTAGTTATGTTACTGTTATCTTCCCATCCCAGTTACTTCTTAAGTCTTTTAATTGTATGGAGTTGTTCATGTTTTGATTTGCCTTGATTTACCACAGATATTGGATTAAACCGACACATATTATTTTAGTTCTGGAATGGGGAAATATCAACAGACAATTGGGACATAGACATTATACATACATGCATGCATGCATGCATGCATACATACATACATAGATACATACATAGATACATACATACATAGATACATAGATACATACATGCATGCATACATACATACATGCATGCATACATACATAGATACATACATACATAGATACATACATGCATGCATACATACATAGATACATACATACATAGATACATGCATGCATGCATACATACATAGATACATACATACATACATACATACATACATACATACATAGATACATACATGCATGCATGCATACATACATAGATACATACATACATACATACATACGTACATACATACATACATACACACATAGATACATACATAGATACATACATGGATACATACATAGATACATACATTGATACATACATTGATACATAGATTCATAGGCACATAGATACATAGATAGATAGATAGATAGATAGATAGATAGATAGATAGATAATTAGATAGATAGATAGATAGATAAATAGATCGATCAATAGATAGATAGATAGATAGATAGGTAGATAGATAACTAGATAGATAGATAGATAACTAGATAGATAGATAGATAGATAGATAGATAGGTAGATAGATAACTAGATAGATAGATAGATAGATAGATAGGTAGATAGATAACTAGATAGATAGATAGATAGATAGATAGGTAGATAGATAACTAGATAGATAGATAGATAGTTAGATAGATAGATAGTTACATACATACATACAAACATACATAGCCAAACATATTGAAAATGTGATGGGGATAAAGGGATGCTCAGACCAAAGCTTGGTGATTGAAACTTTGAAACTATGGGATTGAGCAAACTACAATAGGAATATAATAAGACTTACCGTAAGCGTAGTAGAAATGAATAGGCTTACAATAGGATACAATAGGATATCATAGGATATTGATGTTGATGTCAATGCGGGACTGTAGTACCCTCAATCAGGATATGGGTTTGTCCAATATTAAGGGATACCCCACAGTGACCAGATGTGACGAGCAGATTTTGGTGAACATGATGAAGACAACATGGTATTTGGGAGGTACCCGATTTTCAGACAGACTTTTGAAAGGTAAAATTATATTACACTTGAATGCACGTATAGATAATATATAATATGGGTAGCTCTTGGAGCTGTGGGAAAAATCAAGCAACACTTGTTGATCGAGAAATCATCTACAAATTTTGCGAAACTCACCCTCAAGGTTTGGACATCTCAGTGGAATGGGTATCAACAATGAATGAACATGTCCAAGTCTCGATAGGTTTAACATGTTTAAGTGATGAATGTCCCAGCAAATTCGTCTGGCGACATGCTCAGAAGCGAAAATCAGTGTCCGGTTGATCTGCCAGGAATGGATTCGCAAAAGATGTCGGACTCCAATAACCTACCAAAGTGTACGTTTCAGAACCAAAATATTAGCATAACTTCTCGTTGGCCTTTTCCCGCTCGGTTTCAATGCCCAAAAGCAATGGTTAGGTGATTTTAGGTGCACATGACTGAGGTTGTAACAGCTGTTACAGCAACTTCTCAAGCAGACATGGATCACTGCATCCAATCATTTAAACCCGCTGAAAGGATATCAAATCACATCCTGGTTAAACGGATCCAACGGATTCAGGTGCTGCTACCAAATTTGAGAAACCACTGGACATTGGGTCATTTGGGTCATTTTACATTTATTTACTCCAGTTTTTGTTGACTGAATGAGGTGGGCCCTTGCTGTGTTTTCCCACTGGTTTGGCGTCTTGTTGGCCATTTCAAGTCAGGTACCTGGTACAAGGATGGCGAGTTCAACACCAGCTACGTGGTGTCTCGATTTTGTATAGTTCACGGTCCGTTGGGTTGTTCTGAGTGATCGCATGGCCAGCTGAGAAAGAATATGTTGCAGTTGATGAACAACATTGAACAGTCACTGTATTGAAGGGTTCCGGTGCCTCAAATGGAAAACTTGCATAATGTGCTTTATGAATATGTCAGTGGTCTTGTTTACCAACATGTTTGGGATCTTAAAACTATGATGTTAGTTGGGTGACAGGTCTGTGTATACTCTCGTCCATTTGGGGGTCCTCAACTTCGAGAGAGGCATTCTGGTAGTTTTGACATGTATAGCATCCATCAAAGTGAACTGCAAAACCATAAAACGGAATTCCGTAAATGCACATTCAAGCCATGCAATAACCCTTGTGGAGATGTTTCTGCCATGGTTTGTACTGCACATGTTGTTCATTATCTTTGATATATATATATAAATTGAAGTAAACGCAGATCCAACCTCTACATTTAATTGGTTCAAATCCTCCTTTTATTGATTCTACCCGTAATTAGCTAGTACTTCATTGATCTCCCACATGTTGTTGGTACATCCCAAAAAAGGTTTTTTTTTTGGGTGGTTTTCCGGCTGACCATGAAATGTGTCCAACCATCGACCGCATCTGAGGAGACCCTGCGTGAGCACTGCTTGACCTTTTTGGAGAAGAACCCGGGCCGGCCAGTGCCGCTGGCAGACATACATCGCTATGCGGGGTACCTTAAAAGGGACAGCGATGGCGAGAAGTCCAAAGGGTTGGGGAACTCTAAAAAATGCTGCTGTGATTTGCGAAAATTGTGTGTTTTTCCAGCTAATTTACAGGGATGGTTGTTTCAAGGGGGTAATCATGAACAAGAGCATTTTCCTGCGACTGTGGTGATCGACATGTCCCTATTGTGTTTCACACTCGGCCATTGTTTTTGGGATGATATCAACGGACTTGGCATTGCCAAAGCTTCAAGGCTGACTAGAGATCAACCGCCCACTGACAGCAACTCATTTTGGCTGGAGAGAAGATGGACTCACCGGCCAGCTCTTGATTTAAGAGAATGAATTCATGGATTCGAAGAAACTGGATGTAAGTAGAACTGCTTGCTGGTTTCATCGTTCCATACCTGTCCAACATATCCCAAAGTGACCGCTGTTGGGATGTGGAAAGCAGCAACCAGATTTTTTTGGAATGTTGGGCAGTCAGGTGATGCAACATCCTGGGCCTCAAGTTCCCACTGAGGTGCTGGTATTGATGGAGATTGTAGAATTTGAATACCACTCAATAAGGAGCTAACTAACCACCATGTTGGGAACGGTATTGGTATATTAGGATACAATTGAATGAGCTATATACAGTATACACATGTATACAGAATCAATGTCCTAAATGGATGAATCAAGGCCAGGATTATATTTACGTAATGTGGGGATGTTACCTACAGGTGATTGTCTTGTTGATTGGGGATTTTAGTCTGAAGATGCTTTGCATGCAGAAGAAAGACCCCCTACTGACCAACCATTCCAACAGATTTCCTGCCGTTCCGTTGGTATATCCATTGCAATCGGATCATACTGCGGGCACTAAGCAGGGTAGAGGGGACCGGTGTGCTTTAGCCACTCCTAAGATCCAGTGTCAATTTAAAAAAAAGGTTTATATTGCACATCTCTGGACTCTGCTGTTGACACGAAAGCTGCCATAAAGGGTCTCAGGGAGTGTGTTCTCAAAGCTGATATTTGATGACTTTTCCCTGGCAGGATGACTCTTCAAAATGAGCACTTCTGAGTGCGCCCACCAAGCTAGCCCCAGCAATCCCGCATCATTGCAGTCCAGAACATGCGTGTTAACTTGTTGACTAACACCTGTCATGTTAATATCCTCCTATTTTTGTCAAGTCTCCCTGTGGCCTCCTTTTGGTTCCCCAGGAGAGACATCTCCCTAATCTTTCTAGTAGATTCTAGGTGGCGGTTGGTTCTGTCCAGTCAATTGCATCTCCATAGTCTTTCTAGTAGAAAATAGAGATGCTAGATTCAAGCCAAGGTACAAAGTCTTGGCACCAGCGACAAATTGGTTTTAGGATCCTCAGCACCATCTATTTGGTCCAATTCAACGAAGACAAAGATCAATTTCGACTGGGTCGTTCTCGTCTACAAACGGACGACCTCACTACGAAGTCGTTGGATCCATGTACGACGCAGCAGTGTGAGCTTGGTGATACCCGAGAAGTCTGCGATGCTGTAGACAAGCTTGGAAAAAAGTGTATGACATGTGTGAAGGATATCTTTGCAAAAAAGGAATAGCAGCCGTCATACCGTTACACGAGTGCCGACAAGAACAAACTCTTGGATAAGTTTCTGGCCTGCTGGCCCTTCTCGCTCCAGAACCCGTGGCAGATGATCCCATTCTCACGTTGGCCTGATTATGTCGAGCAGTGGCTTTCTTTGGAACCGACAGAGCTTGCAGCTAAGGCTTGCGAGACAACTATCAATTGATATAAGATTCTCATCAGCTGTCATTCATGAAACAAGTTGTACTTGAAACATTAGTGTTGTTCCCTATCAGCGCAGGTGATCGCTCGCGACAAGAGTTTGTGATCTTAAGTTCACACATCGCGCGCGTTACCTCTTAAAGATCACATTCTTACTCGTATCATATGATTGGTTCATTGCTCCTTCCCATACGCAGAATGAGGTGCGTGTCAGGTTGTCAGTGTGTGGAATTGAGTGCTTAAAGTTGTGAACCATACCTCACGAAATACTGACGCTCGTGTGGTTGTAATATGATGCGAGACATAAGTGCGTGCTATGCTCTAACGCGCATTTGCAACGTGAGACGCTGATGAATGAGTGAAATAATATGAACAGAAAGATAACTAGAGACTCTGAGGAAAGTAAGGAATAATCGGCGAAGTATCAAGATCCTGATTGTGGGTCACTGTTTTGGTGACAAGCTAGCCACTTTACAATATTAGGCTTGATAGGATAGCTCACTGAATGACAAAACTGCAATATATGAGTGCGGACGTGCGCACAAGTAATGATCCTCTGAATGGGCTAAGCTGTTGCCCACGAACATTCTATATCCAGAATTGAGAGATACTAAGAGTGATTTCCTGCATCAGCCTAAACTGGTAAAAGATCACATTGATCACATTCTTACGGTGTCACAAGAAATCACATTAAGATCTTAAGGTGGGGATAAATGATAATGTGGCGCAGGATGACATCAGCTGCATCATGAAGACCTTGGAGTTGGATGAGGAAGTGACCTCCGCGGTCTCCGCGACTGGACAGAGAGTCTTCATGAAGATGCGCAAAGGTGGGGGGAGACCCGGGGGAGATGCTGGGAATGGGTTGGGAGTTGGACGGGGTACAGTGTACTAAATCAACTTGTATAAGTTGGTATATACAATATTATACAATAGATTCAATAGATTATGATATGATAATATATGTCTTAGTAACAGGCATGATTGATGCATTCTGTGAGCTTATAGCCTCCTTAAACTTTCCTTGGTTGCTTTGTCGTTTTCTTGGATTTTCTTTCCCTTTGTTTCTCCCTTGGAAACCAAACAAAACCAAAGGAAAACAAAGGAAACCAAAGGAAAACCATAGAATCCAACCAGCCCCAAACCAAAAAGGAAACCAAAGGAAAACTGTAGAATCCAACGAGCCCCAACATACCAAAGAAAATCAAGGAACATCAAATGAAACCGACGGAAACCAAAGGAAACCGATTCAAAGTATTGTGTGATATCCTGTGCTTTGTTTGAACGATGTTGCAGTATATATCATCCATTTTCAGTTGATTGAACTGATATGGGTTTCTGGACACCTTAAAGATTGTGTTCTTCACTTTTCCTGGATTTGAATTACAACCACCTTTCTTGGTGATGTTTATCTTGGTGATTTTTATCTCCATAATATCCCCGAGAAAGGGCATGGGTAGCCTCATTACATCCCAGAAACAAAATCTAAAGTGAGTACGGCTCAAACATGTTGCATGTCTGCGGGTAAAATCCCAAACCCAATTCTGATCAAGCTGGTCAGAGCTTCATTTTAAGATTTTTATTATCGCAAACATAATTTTATGGAGCAACGTAGCGTCCCACTTTCATTTTTGCTTAAGACTCCAGTTTCGTTGGTGTAGAAAACACTATGTATTTTCCCCAAATCTCCAGTTAATTCTGTTTGACCTTCCTCTTGTACTGTTTAAACAACTTCACCCGCCAGCTCCTTTTCCTGGATCCCCTCCGAAAATCCCATCGTTGAGGCGCCTTCGCCACCCACTTCGACCTCTTCGCGGCACGTTTGCCCAACTTCCTGCAGCCAGCCGAGGCGGTGCCGGGACAGATGCTGGTGCCATGCATCTGCTGCCCACTGCGCAACGAGTGCAAGGTGGGGACTGGTTAGTTGGGGAGGGTTGGGGCTTGTTGTGTTGGGCCTTGGTTTGGAGCCCACCTTGCAAAATGGCATGCATTGGCAAACATACTGACATAACTTTACTGTTCCGACCAAGACAGTTACAGGGTTTCTCTGTTGAGGGTATATCCAAAAACTGGTTATTAGTAAGCGGCACATCATTGTAAATCCTTCAAGCTCTTCCTACTACCATAGAACTTCAACTTAAAAGTAGAAGCATTCTGCTTGCATTGCATCGTCTTTTGCAGATCTGGCATGCTGGGCCACTAGCACATAGTCACATAGTAGCTGCGATTTTGTTGCTACAGTCTTTGAAGATGTGAAAGTAGCTTGCAGAGACCAAACCACTGTCAACGAGTTCTGCTGGACATAGCTGGATTTTTGTGGTTCACTGTTGCCGTGCTGCACGCTAACAATGCGTTTGCTTTATGCACTTGTGGCCGCAATTATGGAAGAACTAATCCATTTCATTGACAGGTAACATTTTCTAGGTTTGCACACAACTGGGTTGTCTGAACAGCATTGGCAAAAAAGGTTGAAGTTTAAGTGGAATCAGGATCTATAACCGTTGAACAAAGAAATCTCAAAACGGGGTGGTTTGCACCTTGGATGCAAGAACACAGGCTGGCGGACGTGTTTGCCCCGAGAAGTGTGAATACCTCACGAGGCGCAGGGATGTTCAAAGAATATGGAACCACTTGATGCAAATGACTATATGGAAATAAATATGTTACCCTATTATGCCTACGAACCTTGCGGATACAGTGAGCAAATGACCGAACATGATGATTGCAATCAGCAAAGTTGGGCCTGAATGTGAGTCATTCAGAAACAATCGGTGATTTGATTTTGCCGTCAGTTGGGAAATGGAATACAGGATGGTGAATTGGCACCATCATGATAACAAGTACCAGTATGTGAACCAGTGGTGTTGGCAGTTCATTAAGGTGTTCCCAAAAACTTCAAACCTCAATATCTAGGACATTATAGGACTCATGTTCTTGTTCAAATTCTGTTGTGCGTCCGCGGAGGGCCACATTCAAGATCCGAGAACATCATTTGTGCTGATTCGGTTGTTTTTCTTCCCTTCTAATGGTTCAAGTTCCTTTTGCGGGCAGCTCGGGTTCTGCAAAATGATAGGATAAAAGCCTCAAAGAAGGGGAGTTGGCAGTGTTAGGAAAGACCTGGAATGTGCTCTTGCAACTCAGAAATGTTTGATTCGTTTCTCAAAGATGTCCTTTTTGCAGAAGAGCATGTTCATGTTCCATGTGAGACTTCCAATTAAAAGTGACGGCTCTCTGAAGGTCTTGGTTTCCTCTTACAGGGGACATGGATCTAAACTATTTGGGTGCAGCAGGTTTGGAGTAACCATGAGATTGACTAAGGCCTGGGCCCAATTGAAAATTCCTGTCACCAAATGACCAGACTGAATGCTGATTTCATTTATGTGGCCCTCCCATTGTTTCAATAATGGTATGTCTGGTTCACTTGCTTGTAACCACCAGGTGGCTACAAAAAGATGAACCAGCACAAACGGAGGCGGGGAAAAGAAATTGGAATTCGATGTAATTCAGTGTCCCCACAAGTTTCATGTGTAAACTGCCTTCGAAATTACTTGGATCATAGTGAGTGAGACGATGTCACCTACTGACTTACTTCCGTCCAAGGGACTGGTTAGCCTCACACCTTCCATGCACGTTCCATGCCCTTCAGCTAAGCAAAATTGTGTGGACTGTCCCATGGCCATCGCCAAGGCTTCAGTTCTTTTTCCAAGCTGTGGAACAATGCAACCCCGTTTGAATGATCAGCTAGTCAAACTTAAAATCGTGTTCATAGTGTTTTTTCGATGAGATGAGGGACGTTGCATACACCCACCTATGGTTGATGTAAGATGGTCATAGTGGTTTGGATACTCAAAGCCGCGTCCACTTGGACATCCAGCGCTGGGTCAAAGTGGGTACTGTACTCCAAAATACATGCTTCAATCACAAAAGTGGATGTGAGGAAATGTTTAAGATGTTCCCAATTTGACCAACATTAAGCTTAATCTGAGAATGTAAATGTATGTAAAGGTGACAGATGGTGACAGATCGAAAGTATTAAACTTTATTAAACAACCCCTCAAAACAACGACCATACGAGCCACTGACTCGATGGCATGTTGGCATCCAAGATCTCCCATGATCTCCAGGACTCGATGGTGGATTGGTAGCGTAAAATGTGCCGCGTGAGCGCTGGGCGAAGTGCCATGAAGTGGGTGAAACAAGCGCTTGGTTGCTATGTAACTTATGTAACCAAGCTTAGGTCAGAAAAGAAAGAACCAACCACGCGTGTAATGGCATCGAGAATGAGATAAGCAACAAGAACTGGGATGTAAGTAGCATCAACTAATATCAACTAGCAATAACACTGGAATAACTAATGACCACCATTTGGGAAATAGCCACCAATAAGGAGGAAAAGAAAGAACAATCATCGAGAAATAACCATCGGAACAGTTTGTACTTTGCCATCCAATTCTTGTATGATGAACCATGACGGATTGGTATGTTTGATTGGGGTTAAGGAAGCACATGTTATTCTTGTTCAAGCAAAAAACACGCACCACCAAGGATGGTTGTTACTGCCTTGTCAGGATGTCGTCAGGATGTCGTCAGGATGTCGTCAGGATGTCGTCAGGATGTCTATTGGCTCTGGAGAGTTTGGTGTTCTTATCGCTTGGTTTCTTTGTATTCACTTTCTTGAGGCTCAAGGAAATACAGTGCGATTGCATTGACAGAGAGAGATTTCTAAACCGATCATTCGGACACACTTCACAGTTGAAGAGTTGCAGTTGCAAGGTTTCTTGGCATGGACTGAGATGTAAACAACAGAAACAACTAAGGCAGTGTCGTCCAATGACTTCTCATGGAGCAGAAGAACAACAGTTTCAACCTGGTCACACATACCTACTGTGATGTGTTGTTTTTTCCAGTTGCTTTTCGACAACAGTTTAATGTGATGCCTTTTTGGCCACGTTTTCAGGTTGATTCGATATATTGCTAGGACTGCCAACCCCAAAAGACTCAGCAGAACTTTGGTGTTTCAGTGCACCCCCCGCACCATAGCGCCATAGCTGCAATGACGGTGGCGGGCCGTGTGACTTGGCGTGGCGTTTGGCTTGGGAATGACACAAAACCGGTATATGTTTTGGGTATCGGCATGAGTGACATCAACAGAAATATATTGCCTAACAACTCCAGGCACATAAATTTGGGTTGTTGATCAGCAACATGAGGTTCAAGTGATCTCACTCATTCACTGAACAAGTAAACATGCTGTCGTCAACAACAAATGTACCTTTTGATAGATTTCCTGGCATGGAGTTCAACTGCTGGCCAACCATCACATAAAAACAGGTGATAGAGGACGCACAAGTGGCTTTGTATACCATATTATATCACTCTTGCATATACTTGCTACATAACATATAACACATTTGAATATATATATGATAGATATCAATTAATGTGTGTTTATTCACATTACATCACTATTACATCGCAGTTACTTTCATATTACTAATATTACATAACCTCCACATGTCCGAAGCTCATGGCAGATTAGGCCCTGTCCCTGGCGGATGAGTTGGAACGCTGGATCCAATTGGCCAGCAGACCGGTCGCGCCCGAGACCCGCTGCGCCTTGGAGCAGCAAATTGTGGGGAAAATTGGGAAAATCGGGAAATTGTTGACCAGTTACCATAGTTAACCTCCTCAATCGGTTCTTTACCAGCAAAATCCAATCATCCAAACCCTTTGAAAGGGTTCAAGGCTGGTGAAAGATCCGATTCATATTCATTGGAAATTGGCAAAATATGTGGTGCCTGCACTTCTTAGTAATGGATTATAAAACCATGTTAAACCATATTCAACCGCTAGTGATGGGCAAACTTGTTTTCTTGGCCTTGTTTGCACCCTGGGAAACCCTGGGAAGTTGCCAGTTTTTTCTAGGATGGCCTGGAACACCGGATTGCTGCCATTGGAAGTATCCAGCTGTTGGGTATGTGGGCACTGAGCCACTAGGTAAGTTTGTTCTTTAAGCAGCAAACATATTAGGATAGACGTTTAGATACGTCTTGTGATGATGGTTGGATTGGGGATGCAACCCGACAGATAAAATGGAGGTTTCTTTGCATTTTTGTCAATTTTTGAGATGATCTCAATTGACTAATGTTTGGCTAGTGGTTCAAACACCAGTCATTTTTCGTTACCTGAAATGAAGTTACAACTTGGCAAATCCATCGAGACTTGAAATATGGTGAGTACAAATTGCAGTGTCTGACATGTTTCTGTTGCTGTAGCAGCTTGTTTCTAAGCGGATTCCATACATCCTAAGGCTGAATGCACAATTTCGAGGACGGCTTCAAACATATTTGGATGTTATAAAGCCATATAAAACCATTTCTTCCAGTATGTTTGTCCCATAAACCCAACAACTCGTCGTGGCATTACTTATATTATTTGCAGCCATGGATCTGACCTCTCAAACTTAGCTGTTTCTCAGGGATCTTGCTGAGGTGTGGAGGTGGCTACGGACATCACCATGCAGGCGAGACCCGTCTGCGAAGAGAGTTGTTGAGTTGTCTTGAAGATACAGAAATGGGAAGATCAGCAAGAAACCAACATGAAAAAGGCCGATAGATGATGAGATGGCCTTTGTTTGTACCAACAGAGGATAACAGAAGTGTAGGTATTTCAAGGAAGAATGAGAGAGAACGACAACAAGCATGGCTCTATGACCTACAGCGATGGGTATAGAACTTGGGCGTTCAGGCTGCACGAGTCACCTGTTCAGCCGTCATTCGAGCGCCGCAGGACATGGAAGAGTGGGATCAAGTGGAGGCGGGCACGTCAGATGGTAGAACAAAGGAAATGGGTTGTTTGCAACCCACGCCAAGAACATTTTTTTCCAGTAAAGAAATCGTTTTTCCCCACCTGCCAGGTGAGGGTTGTTAGATTTTATCAGGCCTCCTCCTCCAGTTTCTCCTCGACCATGTCTGCATCAACCTCCACCTCCACTTCCGCCTTGCCAACTCTTCGCCAAGCTCTTCGCCAACTTCCGGACCTCAACCTGGGACCTGCCCAGCTCAGTGTGCACCGCTGGACCTCAACCTGGGACCTTCCCAGCTCAGTGTGCACCGCTGGACCTCAACCTGGGACCTTCCCAGCTCAGTGTGCACCGCTGGACCTCAACCTGGGACCTTCCCAGCTCAGTGTGCACCGCTGGACCTCAACCTGGGACCTTCCGAGCTCAGTGTGCACCGCTGGACCTCAACCTGGGACCTTCCCAGCTCAGTCTGCACCGCTGGACCTCAACCTGGGACCTGCCCAGCTCAGTGTGCACCGCTGGACCTCAACGGCCAGATAGAATGCCAGAAGATATGCCAGATAGAATGCCGGAAGATATGCCAGAACATATGCCAGAAGATATGCCAGGTAGAATGCCAGAAGATATGCCAGATAGAATGCCAGAAGGTATGCCAGAAGGTATGCCAGATAAAGTGCCAGAATGTTTGCCAGATAGAATGCCAGAAGATTTGCCAGATAATATGCCAGAAGATATGCCAGGTAGAATGCCAGAAGATATGCCAGATAGAATACCAGAAGATATGCCAGAAGGTATGCCAGATAGAATGCCAGATAAAATGTCAGATAGAATGCCAGAAGATTTGCCAGTAACAAAATGTATAAATGTCATGGTGGGGATCACACGAAGTAAAGTAATTTTTCAATCTGTGTGGGTCAACTAGCACGTTGGGCCCTGGGATGCGAAGACTGACCAGTCATAGTGAGTAGGAGAGTAGGAGAAAACCGTCCTATTGTTGCCCGATAACTTGCACCCAATCAGTATCCCCTTGAGATTCCACTGTTAGCAAGAAACATGCAGGCAAAATGCTAACCATAGGATGATCCGGATTATGTAGTAATGACCTCAATCATGAGGCAACCTCAAAGCTGATGAGACAGGAAAATCCGCCTTCCTTTCATGGTGTCAAAATGGAGAAAACATACCCCGAAGCCGACCAAAACGTTCCAGGAGATTATGGGATTCCAACCCGCTCCTGCATAAATGAACCTGGTAACCATCAGGTCTCTACATGACAAGCGAGTCAACTCTCCATTGGCTGAAACACATTGAAATCACTGGCCATCACTGGCATCTACTCTTGAGATTTCAAGATGGATAAACAATCCGAGGATTCATGTATCATCCGAGGATAATTGTCTCAAATCTCACGCAGCTTCTCCTGTTTCGAATGTTGGACCCACCTTGAGCTGTTCCCCGAGTATGTGGCGGAATCTGGCAGTTATTGCCACTTCCTGCAGGCTGAGATGTCTCCGGACGAGCGCGAGTTCACGGACGAGAAGGAGCGGGATGATGTGAAAGGAGGGGAGATATATCACATTGGTTCATATATATATATATATACGTATACACAATTTATATATTAATGATGCACATATTTATACACATATAACAAATATACAGGATCCATATATATATATATAATATAAAATAATATAACATAATATAACATAATATAATATAATATAATATTTAATATAATATAACATAATATAATATAATATAATGTTATATAATATAGTATATAATATAATCTTATTATAACATAATATAATATAATATATATATAATAAAAAACATATATAATATAATATA